CATTACTTATGCTGGTCAAGAAATAGTCCAAGGAATCCAGAAAAACAGGTTTGATTGTTACAGACTCCAATTAGATGACTATCCTATTCACAATGCTGATTTCCATCATTTAGATGGTCCTATAGATGAAAATGAAGTTGGGAAGAACAAGTCTTACAACAACATGTTGGTAGTAATAAAGAACAAGTTGCAGGTGGATTAATTGCTGCTAGAGAAATGTCCAATGGTGTCTTATACAGTGTACTCACTAATTGTAAAGCTGAAACTCTCACATTAGAAGCCAATTTATCTTTCTATTATTCTAGGACCAGTAAATCATGGAGTGAAAAAGATGGTGTTCCTGTTATTGGTGCTGATGACTATTTTATACTCATCTCATTCATAAATTGTTCAGAAATTATGACAAACTAAAACAATATGATGCATTTGTATTGAATTTAATTATTGTTCAATCAACACAATTACCAACAAGTATCAATGGAACTACCATTTCATTCTATCAATTAAGTAAAGACACGAGAAAGTTGAAGAATGCAATTATTAAAAGTGCAGAGAATCATCAGTTTACAATAGAATATATTATGTAATTAAAAATGTCAATCCTGGTCGATTTAGAATTACTAAAGAAGGATTTGAACCAGAAGATTTCACAATTGAACCAAATAAACATATTCTTACAGAATTCTTAAATAAGTATGACAACACTGATAAAGACACTAATGGAGCATTTTTGTCATATGGGACAGTATGTTTTGTAAAAGAGAAACTTTGCGAGAATGATGATGGTATTCAATTCAATGTTAAAATGCAATTCATTGGATTTAGACAACAAAGTCTTGATGACATTGATGATGATAGAATTACAATAGGATTTACAACAACAAATTATCTTCCAAAGAAATTCTTAAAGAAGAAAAATCTCAATTAATAGGATTAAACTAATTGAATTTGAATTCATTAATCAATTAAAGAATGGTTCTAATTAATGATTAAAACCATGAATGAATTAATGTAGATGAATTGACATTCACATATTGTTCATCACCTATTTGTTTATTTAACCAATTAACTACATACTCTTGAGTATAATCAAATGGACTCTTTTCTAATTCAGTCATTTTTTGTATTGCCCATCAATATCCTTTGTTTTCTTGTTTCATTTGTTAACTTC